ATGTGAGTTAAACATTTACCTCAAGTAGACACACACCCTGGAGAGAACAATCATGGGAGAAGGAAGGGCTGCTTATGCACAGGGAGACAGCTTAGGGGGCAGGAGAGTATGGAGGGATGGACACTAGGAAGTGGTAACTACGGGGAGAAGTGGGAGGGGAGCTGTTGCATTGTGGTAAATTGTGGTCAATGACATGCGACAATGTATATGTGAACTGCTATATGGAAAGTGAATTTGCTTTGTAAATCTTCACCCAAATCAAAATAAAATAAAATAATAAAAACATTTAAAAAAAAATGCTCCCAATAAATGTTCTTTCCCTCCTCCCTCTGCCCACCCGCCCCCAACAGACTAAAAGAGTATATGGTATTAGTACTTTTAGTATTCTGACGATTATATTGATTTATTCTGATAGGTATAGTTTTCCTTATGGAAGAATATCCAGTTATTTCATGATGGCATTTGCACCACCAAAAAGCATAGATGGTCCCAAAATGCAGACAAAGATGAGTACCTGGACACCCCTAAATCATCAGCTTTTGAATGACCAGGTAAGTGACCAGAACAATTTTATCAGTTGGATCCCTGCTTTAAAGAAAAAAGCATAGCATTTTGGTTACCAAAATATGAACAGGAATTGTTTAGTATTATGTAATAGATTAAAAGGAGTCCCTGGATGGTGCTGGTGGTTCATGCTCAGCTGCTAACTGAAAGGTTGGAGGTTTGAGTCCACCCAGAGGTACCCCTGAAGAAAGGCCTGGTAATCTACTTTTGAAAACCCTTTGGAGCACAGTTATACTCTGATGTATGTGAGATTGCCATGAGTTGGAATCATCTAGATGGCAACTGGTTGGTTAATGGGTTAAAAAACAAAATGAAATATTTATTTAAAAACTTGTTGTTATGTGCCGTCAAGTCGGCCCCAACTCATAGCGACCCCTCCTTGGGTTGACGGGGCAGTATCACTACCAAAGTAGATTGCCCAACCTTCCTTCTGAGGAGTGGCTGGTGGGTTTGAACCACCAGCCTTCTGGTTAGCAGTCAAGTGCGTTAGGCACTATGCTACCAGAGCTCCTATTTTAAAACTTAGACAATATATGTTTCTTGTTAGAGTGAGGTCACATGGTAATGCTGTACATTTAACCAAAAAAGGAAGTGAATAAATCTCAGCTGAGAATCTTGCATTACTCAGGTTCACCTAAGAAGTTTATTTTCTACCTGCATTCTGGAGTAGCACTAGTATAATGTGTCAAACAAAAAATTTGAAAGGATGGGAAGCTGAATATCATGCTGGAGTATGAGACTGGCCAACCTCTGGGGCATCTCTCTTTCTACTTTAGTTAGGGACAGAATGCATCAGCAGGTCTGTGAACTCCTATTAGCAATACCTGTGTACAGGTATCCCCTGCATTTTGACAGTTCACTTTATGCCACTTCACTTTTATGAAAGACCTATATTAATATCTGTTTTCACTAAGTGAAAGAAATCCGAAGATCCTTTTAGGGGAAAAGGGAAATTAGTGTTCAGCCTTCGTCTTGCAGTGAGCTGTTAAAGAGGCAGCAGGCAACCTGAGTAGTTGAGAGCAGTGGCGGTGAAAGTGGGGGTGTAACCAAGCTCCTTCCCCAGGAACGACACTCAGCATCTCAGCATAAGGCACCATAGCTTTGAAATGTGTCTGTGGACGCTGCATGTTAGTGTTCTTTTAGGTTTTAAGTGTTATTTGGTATGATTTTATAGGTTATGTTTCGAATCTGAGAATAGACAAAAAATTTTCCCATATAAATTAATGGTAATTTCTTCTTTGCTTTACACCATTTTGGCTTATGAAAGATTTTGTAGGAATGCTCTACATTCAGATAGTGGGGGAAACCTTTTTCAGGACCACATCAGGTATTAAATACAATCACCATACATAAAACTGACCTTTGGTTTGTGGGGCTCCTACAAACCAATTCTCCCCCCACATCCAATTTGTTTTCAAATTCTATGAGTCTTCCTTCAGGAGCTCTTCATCTAGGTCCATTTATCCCGTCCACCTCCAGCTGCACCTATTTTAGTTCATACCCTCATCACCCTTTGCCTGGAGCACTGTAACAAAAACACAGCGCAACACAACGCACTGCAACTATATTTTAAGAGCTCTCACTGCTTTGATAGGGATGGGAAAATTAGAAATTGGCTACCTAAAATGGGGGGAAATAAAGGCATGGAGTGGCTGGCTTACACGCTTTCATGGGTGTGGTTGTTCTCAAACTGATGATGAAACAGATGTTAATTTTTGAAGTATAAAAGGGATAATCACTAGAAAGGCCAAGGGGTGGCCTGTGGTGTAGTAAATTACATGGTGTGGCTTTTCTAGCCATAGTGTTTGTCCCACTTTGCCATAAGCAGTTGAGTAGCTGATTGTTGAAGTTATCCACCTGATGTATTTCTGTGGAAGCAGCACAAAGCAGTCTTCTGGGAAGTTCACTCTCTCTTGGGTGTATAGAATTGTGATGTTGGGATTGGTTGTTTTGGGCCACCCTGCCGGCTCAAAAAGGAGCTCTTCTAGAGGCAGAAGGAGTCTCTCTGACTGCCAGCTGAGAGAGACATGCTACTGAAAGAGACACACTGCTCAGAGAGAGAGATGTTAGAAAAATGTGCTGCTGAGAGAGACATGCTACTAAGAGACTGAGAGAGATGGCTGGCTGCTGAGAGAAATGGCCGGCTGCTGAGATGGCTGGCTACTGAGAGAGATGTCCAGCTGCTGAGGGAAATGGCCAGCTGAGAGACTGAGCAAGTTCCTGAACTTGAATTGTAGCCTGTTGCTTCCCTAATAAACCCCATAATCTGTGAGTTCTGTGTGGCCACTACAGTGAATTATCAAACCTAGCAGAGAGGTGGTGGGTGCTGCAGGCAGAACAGTTGGTGACAAGGTTAGTAAGAGGGCCGGAGGGTAGTGGCATGTTTGACCTCATAAGAACAGGCCTTGGGTTAGATAGATAGTGATAAATATTGATTTGGGTGAAGAGAAAGGCAACATACCAAATGTGAATGACCAATATGACAGCATTGAGGATGAGAAAGACATAGAGAGGTACATGGGAAGTACAGACAACAAATATGAACCCTTTTGCATATACAGTACT